AAGCTTATGATTTTTTAGAACTTTACATTTTACATCTTTTTTGTTACATTTGTTATCTACATCCACAATGTATATTCTACATGTACCATTTAGATTCTACATATCCTCCGCTAGGGTTTGCTCGCGCACTGAACGAGGCAGAGTGTGCGAGCGAGAAAGAGAATGGGTAGCGGGTCTCTTGATGTAGGAGGCGGAGGAAGCAACTGGAGAAGCGTATCGCCATAGTTTTGTATACTTTGGGCTCTTCTTCTGAGTACCGAACAGTCGGTACGCTTTTCGGCGTGTCAACCAACAGCGTCTGCAATATCCTGCATGAGTTTAGCAGGGCATTGATAAAAGAATTCTCAGAAAAATACATGTCTTCAAACTATCTCACTTCCGAGAAAATTGACGAGTGTGTCGAAGGATTTGAAGAAATTGGTTTTCCTCAGTGCCTAGGTGCAATTGGAAATAATGCAATAAAATCATCCATAAGATATTTATATACATATACAGCTTAGGCAGTCGACCACCACAATTATAAAGGCTGGTATTCAACCGTATTATTTGCAATGGTAGACTACAGGTAATATATTCACACCTAAACAAATATTGTCAAGTTGTTTACTTAATTATTCAAATATTTAATTTCAATTTACTTCAGATATAGATTTACTTATGTAAACAGGAAGATGCAACGACTCAATGATATACCAAAAGTCAAGCCTTGGCAAGCTTATCGAAGAGTCGCCTTTGCTGGAGAAAAAAGCCAAGGAAATTTGCGGAGTGAAGGTTGCAGTAATGCTGGACTCGGCATTCAGGTTCTCAAAAAAGCTTGTGAAGCCATACCCATTTTCCACAGCCGCGTCCTTAGAGCAGCGCACTTTTAATTACAACCTTTCCAAAGCTAGGCGAGTTGTGGGAAATCGTGGTTTGGGTACATAAAACATGTTAAACAGCTCAATTAATGAAAGTTGGGAACTTCTTCGAAGTGAGCAGAGAGAACAGCCCGATCGCAGCAATCTTTCTGCTGATTATAATCATTCAGCAAAACAAATACGATCTGCAATTGCAACATATTGTGTAAATAAAATAAATTTAAATAATTAGTTTTAGTAATTAATTATAATTACTTAAATTTAAACCTACTACTACTTAACCTACTACTACTGTTTATTTTCTCTTAAAAATTGCATAAAATCCGTTTGAAATATCGTCTGTGTTCGGATCGAGGAGATCCTCCTGCCTCTTGTGGTGATTCTCCTGCTTTTTGTGATGTTCTTTTTGATCAGCTAGGCGCTCTCTGGACGCCACTACGCTATCCAGTTTGGTGCGCTTCTGTGGGTGCCCATTGCTCGCAGAGAATGCGGTGGAGCTGCAAGATCCGTCCAGGTCCACCTCAATCACGTCCGAAAAAAACTCATTAATATCTGCAATGAACATAACATACTGAAGGTAATGAATACATCATTTTATTTAACTTACTCTCGTTGTCCAGGGTGCTTTGCTCCGAGTTATTTATTCGGAAGGCTCCTAGAAAAGCTTGCAGCTTCTCATAATGCTGCCCTCTAGAGAATCAGATATTGAACAGATATTCTCGCCTTGCCGATTATGGCCCTGTCTTCCCCTGAGGCTGTCTTGACGATGGAGATGTATTTCTCCATATCCACTCCGCGGTCGTTCATCTCGACAGCCTTTTCCGAGGACACTAACAGACGCCCCGGTATCCAGGAGTCCGGCAATCTTCTCTTGTCGGAGCTGCACCACGGCGAAAACGCTGGTATCGCGTCCTGCTCCACGCATGACACGTCTTTTCCGGAACCGTGAACGAGCCTTTTGGAGTCTACGGCTGACACTGCTCATCACTTCCAGCTGCCAATCGTCAAAGATCCAGACTGCCATGTACTTCCTCATCTTCTCTTCGGCCGGTAAGAACTTTAAACTGTTCTTATTTAATATACTAGAATGATTATTATTTTGTACAATTTTATTAGGAAGAGTATTATTTATCTCCTCGCGGGCTTCATTCCCGGGCGATGATCTCCCGCCTTCATCACGCCCATTCGTGCGGTTCCCGAACACTTTGGACATGTTGGCGTAAACATTTCTGGCTCCCCACAACGGTAGCAAAATGTTTTGCGCTCCTTCGCCACACAATGCCGGAATCCGTGGTCACATTGGCCACAGTTCCAGCAGGGCTTGGTCTTATTAGCCAGGTGGGTTTCCTCAACTATAACCTCTTCTTCTTCCTCCAACAGTTCCGATTCTGGCTCTATCTCCTCCACTCGCTTTCCGGATGATTGAAACTTCGGCGCCGAGCGATAAGCCGACTTCTGCTCGCGCCTGCGAAAGTGGTGCTCAAACTCACCACCTACGGCTCGGAACCGGGACACCAACTCGTCCTTCAAGTCTTCCCATACCTCCAATTTCGGACCGGAAAAAATCAATAGCTTTTTCCCATACACAGCACATCTATGAGGAACGGTGTTCACAGATTGTTCACAGATTTGAAACTCCGATTCTCACTGGCACCATGAACCATCCATGAAAAGTAGCTGATGCACACAATTTGGTGCGGCGGAAAATTTATTTACTTTTATAATTACAATAAATATTAATAATGTTGCAATGATGGTGATTTTGATTCAGCACCATAATATATTCTTGCACAATTTAATCATTTTGCTGGGCATGGATGAAAATAATGTGGCCAACATTGACGAGGAGAATTTATTGGAATGGATATCTGTTTTGAAAACACTGAAGCGTGATCATTTGTGACTGCTTCTACTAAATCCAATCACTGTTTTATATACAAATATATATTCTACGTTTTTTGAGAAGCGGTTTGGGACATTTTAGCAGAAAGATGTACCCAAAAAAAAAGAGGAGTGAAGTTTTGTGTAGCCGTACACTTTGGGCTCTTTTTCTGAGTACAGAATAGTCGGAGGGCTGTCAGCCAATAGCGTGTGCAATATCCTGCATGAGTTTTGCAGAGCATTCACAAACGAATATCCAGAGGATAGCCCACAAACCGAGTTTTTGTGCCGGAGACAATTCTGACACATCAGATGTTTTGTTTTGACAATTTTCCTTTTGTGTCATTGCTTACATTTTCGTAGTGTAGTGCACTTTTTCTTTGTGAATGTCAAATATTTATGGTTGCATATGAAAATTATCAAATAAATATCGCATAGAAACGTGCGAGATAGGAACATCCCAATTGAATAACTGGTAAATTTTCGGAACGGTAAAACCATACAACCATCCCCGAAATGGATGGTTGATGGTCGCCTGTGGGAATAGGCATTTAGGAACATCAAAATCGTAATGGTTCTATAACCTTAGACTCGGGTAGCTGACTATCTGCCAAATGAGATAGCTTTATGGGAAATTCCTGCAATCAGAACGAATGAAATATATGCGTACGGTTGGCTTTCCAGCTGGCAGCAGCTCTGCGGCAGAAATGATCGATCGTTGTTCCTTTCAGAAACAATTTTGCTGGCTTCCTGGCTGTGTGTACTGGAAAGCATAATTATATCTTAAGCAGTGCCTCAGTTAATCAACTGAAATTCAGTAGACGTGTCTAGAAAAGGCGACGAACACTACTTTTGCATTTTGTATCTTAAGCATTTTTTTTTCGCAACAAAGTTAGCAATTTTTAGAGTCATAGCACTATAAACATTAACTAACAAGAAGCAATGGAAAAAAACCGTCTATCAGCCGAAAATTTAAGTTGTTTTCATTAAGAATAAATAAAAATTGAAGGAGCAGAAAATAGAGTGGCAAGTTCAATATGCATAATTTTAGAAAATGAACATGCGGCAGGTTGAAGTGTTCTGCTGAAATGGAGATTATGATAATTGATACCACTACCCGACACGATTTTTCCTCAAGGAACAGAACCAACTTTTTCTTAAAGATTTGGGGCTTAGAAATGGCAGAACTTTTTTTTAAACAACTTTTGAAAACTGGTATTTTTTTTAAGCTTTTTTCAGAGGTAGCGCTTGTTTTTTTCACATAACTCTAGTATCTTACGTCTGGTTGTAAAGAACTTTGCTATTTTGAAAAGATAATTAAAACAGCTAGAAGTTAAGCCCAAACACTTTGTGATTTCAGCTTACCGTCTGGGAAATATAAAGCATTGAAATGCAAAAAAGATGATTTTTGTGCGGTATTTTTTACGAAATTTTGACTTTAAAAACTCAGGAAAAGTCGTTTGGCGTCGTTAAGGTATCGCTCATTAAAATCTGTTGAGAGACTTTGGAGCTAAAATTCGTTAACCAAACCTAAAAAATAAAAAAATTTAACAAAAAATACCTTTTGGAAGGTTGCGGGCCCAACTGCCAATTGGGAACAAAGCAAACGAAAACGGGTTGTACGTTTGGTACCTGTTCGCGTTACGTTGGTATGAAATGTTGTTGACAGTTACTTTTTTCGTTATCTGAGGTAGATACCTATACAGGTCAAATGTTTCCTTTATATTCTCACAAGTGCAGGTCCACACAAATTGGATCTCGTCGCGTCTACCTAATCATAGTCATGGATATATAACTCTGTGCCTATAGTGTCTGTGCGTTAGTGTAGTTCTGACTTCCCTCAGAATACGATCGTGTGTTTACCAAAACATCTTACAATTAATTAAAATCAATTGTCATGGATACCTCTGGCCGATCATTTTCATGTGCTTTCCAAGCAGACTCATTTTGCTACATATGTGGTAAGTACATGATGATCAACGGATTTGCGTGAGCTGGTAAGACCAAGCTTATGTTGGCTGCTGGAATTAAACCTGGATTGGCAGATAGACAAACGAAATTAGAAAAAAAAAAGTATAAAAACAAAATTTTCCGCACCAAATCGTAGTTATTTTATTCACATCAGCTGAGTTTAAATGAAGGTGGATGTGGATAATGCCAGTGTGAATCTGTTTTTCACAATTGTTGAACCATTCCACAATGATGTGTATAGTGGGCAGATTGTATTATTTATATATTTGAAAGGTACCCATAATAACAATTTGAATATATCGATATTAAATTAATGCCCATATACAAACGCTAGTTATTTTATGTTGTAATTTCGCGTCCGCTTTAGGAGAAACAAATTTTAAAATTTGTAAATTTCAGGTAAATAGGATGCAGCAGCCGACGTTTATATACCTGATAGAATTCTCTTTTGTTTTCAGTACGAAGAGCTGCGTTTAATGCAGAGCATTCCGAATATGAATCCGTGTGTTTTTCCCACACCCATTCCCGACGATGAAGGAGACAAACGCTGGCATAGCATACATCGTCGGTTCATTTCCGATTGTCGCGAAAAAGATCCGGACGTAATTTTCCTAGGAGACTGCATATTTGAGACGCTGCAAGATAGCGAAATATGGAATGAGTATTTTGCACCATTGCACTGCCTCAACTTCAGCATACGTGACGATTGCACGGAACATGTTCTATGGCGTATCGAAAATGGAGCGTTGGACAATGTTAATCCCAAAATAGTTGTTCTGCACGTTGGCACCAACAATGTCAAGAGCAGTGCCGACCAAGTAGCAGAAGGTATTCTCGCAAATGTTGAAAGAATACGTCAGAAACTCAACGGTGCCTACATTATACTTCCTGTAAGTGTCCAGTCGTTCTCCCCCTATGAAAATATACATGACCATAATACCTATTACGTAAATGCAGTCACTGCTCCCACGAGGTCAACAACCTAATAAACTTCGCGACAAAAACGCCAAAATTAACGAATTGGTTAAAGAGATGACTACGGGAATGGATCGCGTACAGACAGTTGCCATCGACAAGGGTTTGGTTCAGGGTGACGGTACCATAAGTCACCACGATATGTTTGACTACAAAAACCTTACAAATACCGGCGCCAAAAAAATTCTCGAGCCGCTTTACGAACTGCTTTCGCAAATCCTTAACGAAAATGAGCTGGAACGGGATCTAACTCCATCCGAGTAGGAAAAATTAAAAAAAATGCACTAACGCACGAACACAAATCTCAATCAAACTAAACTATATTCAACGGAAAACAATTTCCCAATTTGGTTATGTACCAAAATTGTATGGAGCATTCAGAGTGGAGCTGATAAAACTATCCCAAAATCAAACAAGTTTTCTTACTCGATTGAGAACGTTGCAAAATAATACCATATCCCAACATTGATTTATAAGATATATGTATACATTTTTTGCAGTTCCCATGCATACACTTAAATTTATTATTTACATTTATACATTCATGCATATACATAACATGGCCTACTAAAGGCAAACATTCCCAAAAACTTTATAGCAATAATATTATAAATAATTGAGTAAAGTAAATATTTGTACGCGCTGAATACAGAAGATACTTTTACGTAGTCATCGCTCAGATTGAATACAGACTGAGATAGAAAATTTTTTTTAACTGTCATACATTATTGTATTACATTAATGCATAATAAATTATAGCGAACTGGTAAATATATGTCCAATTAACCTGGTCAGTCTAAAATTGATCAGCGGAATAAATATAAACGGATGTAATCTCTATACGGCTTGTAAGTAAGAGAGCAGCGTATATCCTAACAAGTTTCCAATGCTGTTTACTCAATTGGAATACAAAAAACCGCCTAACACCAATTTGCTTCAAAGCATATAATTGAATTAAATGAACTGTAACATTTGAATCTTACTTATGCACATTGATATGTACATAAATTCATTTTCTTTGATAGTAGAAGAAAACAGTACTAAACGGTCTTATATTCTCGTAAGTCTTATATCGATATCGATAGATAGGGTCAATGGCTCTAAGGACGCTAAACTTTCAAATTGATATTTCGTTACATTGCCCCCTCTTAAAAAAGCCTAGTATTCAGATCCAAAAACTGTTTGCTAGCAAACAAATTGTCATATATTCTTCCAGCGGCCAGTTGTGTGACCAGAGGTGTGCACTGCATTCCGTACGGTTACTGCTCAGACAGATGCTTGGTTTTGTTTAAAGTTAATAAAATGCACTTCTTCGGCTGGTGTCGCTCTTCACCAGGCATTTCCTGGGCTCCCCAATATTTTACTGGCAAGGTAATGTGTCTGACTATCAGCAGCAACAGATGGCGACGCCACCCGTGCCGGACACCGTGAAGACAAAATGCTTTGAAAACAATATTTGTTTTATAATTATGGAAATTATTAAAAATAATAAATTAAAATATCCATATAATTTTCATTCATATAATACTGCATTAATTAGATTCTATTTGTCTTCATTATTTAAATATTTCATATGTTTTTTTTTCTCATATTGCAATGTTTGCTTCGTGTTTGCTGGCAAAATATATCAAATTGATATAACTTTCGAGGGGGGTCGCAACATACCAGCAATAAGAGAAAATACTTCGGATACTTTTCTAGTATCGTAGTGTAGTGCACTTGTTCTTTGTGAATGTCAAATATCTATGGTTGCATTTGAAAATGATCGAATAATTATCGCATATCCTCACCGACTTATTCAGGAACAGGTGCTTTGTAGCCCGCTAGGCGGTTTACGTGTAGGCGTCTCGTAGACTAGGTCGGAATCGCTGCGGGGCCTATCCAGTCTGAGTTTCGGACATCGTCCCACTTTCCAAACAGGTGCATACAGCCATACGAGATCACCCGGCTGTAACTGGACGGTATGGGATCGTATCTCCGCTAGCAGGCGCTCCACTTCTCTCATCGCCAGCGCCAACCGCTGGGGTGGTTGCCGTGCTTGCTCCGTGCCCCTAACCATACAGCATATAGATGTGCCAGTGCAAATTCCGTCGACTTTTTCAATAAATTCATTTTTTCAGAGAACTTTTCTATATATATTCTTTCTTTTGCAAAGAATTGGTATATGTATATACACATATGATTATAATAATAGGTAAACGTTGAAAATTTTCAATTCAAATCATTTTTATCGTACTTTAAGTGTTGAAAACAAAATTTTTTGGTAGTAATTATTGTTTGGCAATATGTCGCAACTCCTTGACAAAAAAATAAAATAAGGGGACCCCCTGATAACAGAGCTTTTATCGAAAATGTGAGTTGACAACACATTTTGGCTGATCAATATAATAGGTATAGTGTCAGTAATTCTTCAATATTAAGTAAATAATTTAGAAATTCTTGATTTTTTGGCCGTTTATGGTAAATTTCATTTAGCTAAAGTCAAAAATAAACAAATAATTTTCGGATACATGTAAATGAGCAAAAGTGCAAGCATGTCACCTTCACGTTAAACAGACAAACTTGCCCTCCATTATTTCTGAACAATATCAACATTCCACAAACCACCGAAGTAACATACCTTGGTGTTCATCTGGATAGAAGGCTTACTTGGCGTAAACACATCGAATCGAAGAGAAATCTACTTAAATTTAAAGCTAGTAATCTACATTGGCTAATAAACACCCGTTCACCACTAAAACTGGAGTACAAAGTACTTTTGTACAATGCAGTTCTCAAACCCATCTGGACATACGGCTCCGAGCTATGGGTAAATGCTTGCGTTAGTAATTTAGAAATAATCCAGAGAGCTCAATCGAAGATACTAAGAACTATCACTGGGGCACCATGGTATATACGGAATGAAAATATCCATAAAGACTTAAATGTAGGATCAGTTAAAGATGAAATTGCCAAAGTGAAAGCAAAGTACCAGGCCAAGCTTCAAGCCCATCCTAATAGACTTGCGCAGTCTTTAACATGGCACACTAGCCATACACGACTCCGGCGAAGAGACCTTCCCACCCAGCAATAATACTTAGCTAGGGACGTACTCTAAGTAATTAAGTGTAATTAATTAAATAAATATATTAGGCTAAGATTTGTATACTTGTCGTAAGTCTCTAATAGGGAAGATTCGATAAATAAAATTCCGTAATAATAAAAAAAAAAAAAAAATATGACATAGTAGAGATAGAGCACAGCATTACTCCAAAAAACTCTGGCCAAAACGGGAGGAACATACTTTGGAAAATTACAATATACGGAATGCAGCTCTCGTGAAGTTTGAAGACGTTATTTTACCACCATTGCACACTAAGCTGGGACTAATGAAAAAATTGTTTAAAGCACTGGATAAGGAAGGCGAATCAATGCGTTATCTAAAAGCTGTCTTTCCACGTCTATCGCTGGCAAAAGTGAAAGAAGGAGTAGGAGGGCCCCAAATTCGAAAACTAATAAAAGATGATGGATTTGAAAATATTTTATCTACGAATAAAAAAGCAAAGATAAAAAAAAAAGATTGGAACTCATTCCGAATGGTAGTAAAAAATGTTCTTGGTAACAGCAAGAGTGATGATTACGTTAATATCGGCCAAGACCTAATTTAGAATTATGAAAAAATTGGAGCCAACATGTCACTAAAAATCCATTTCCTGCACTCCAACTTGGACTTTTTTCCGACAAACCTAGGCGACGTTAGTGATGAACACGGAGAGAGATTTCACCAACAATTAAAAGCTATGGAAGGTCGGTATCAAGGTTTTTGGAATGAGAATATGTTGGGCGACTATGTGTGAACTCTCATAAGGGAATCAGATTCGAATGACAAAGGAAGACATCCACAAAACTTAAATTATTTTAAGAACAGTAACAAGCAGTAGAAAACCAAATTTATCACATACGTTTAAAAACTTGTAGCAACATAACACCAAATAAAAAATTTGTATATCCTTAAAATGTACTGAAAAGACTAAAAATGACCGATTTTTGTATGGGTTAGGGAATGAAATTCTATATATCAGGTATTTCTACTTTAATTTTATTGAAATATGAATAGGTAGAAGCGACAAATGTCTAATTTGTGTGGACTTGCACTTGTGCGAATATAAAGGAAACATTTGACCTGAACAGGTATCCTACCTCAGATATGGAAAAAACGAACTGTCAAACAACATTGCATACCAAAGGAACAGGTACCAAATGTACAACCCTTGCTCGTTTGCTTTGTTCCCAATTGGCAGTTGGGCCCGCCGCCTTCAAAAAGGTATTTTTTGTTCATTTTTTCCATTTTTTAGGTTTAGTTAACGAATTTTAGCTCCAAAGTCTCTCCATAGATTTTAATGAGCGATACCTTAAACGACGCCAAATTAACGCACCTATACACAAAAAAATAGAGGACACAAGATATAATTTTTTTTCGACTTTTCCTGAGTTTTTAAAGTCAAAATTTCGTAAAAAATACCGCACAAAAATCATAATTTTTGCATTTCAATGCTTTATATTTCCCAGATGGTAAGCTGAAATCACAGAAAGGGCTCAACTTCTAGCTGTTTCAATTATCTTTTCAAAATAGCAAAGTTCTTTACAACCAGACGTAAGATACTAGAGTTAAGTGAAAAAAGAAGCACTACCTCTGAAAAAGCTAAAAAAAATACCAGAATTAAAAAATATTATCAAACCATTTCTTAGCCCCAAATCTTTAAGAAAAAGTTGGTTTTCTTCCCTGAGGAAAACTCGTGTCGAGTAGTGCTAGTAAAAAAACTTTAACAAAGTTCAAGGAAACATGGATCAGTAATGGTTGTTTAAATAAAAAAAAAAAAAAAAAAAAATTAAAATTAACATTTTTTTTCCTCAAGTTTATTGGCTGGGGGGCAATTGTGCTTTTATTAGCTTTATGAAAAATCATATTAAAGTAGCTTTCTATGTACATTTAATATCTAAACAAAATAATACTAATTTAAGAAAATCTTATAAAAGAAAAATTTTTGATTAGTTAAAAGTACAGTATAATACTTATAACGTCCTTTTTGGACAACCGATTGGAATGAAATAAACATTATATCATTTAAAATATGTTTAAATAAATGTTTTTTTGGCTATTTTTTTGTATTCATTTTTTAATAAGAAAATATTTTTTGTTTTCGTTAATTTTTTTTTTTTTAACTGCAACGAATCACTGAATCTGTTGGGCAAATTCAAAACCAATGTAGGCACGGCTAAAAGACAGTATTGTTGGCGAGTTTTGGATTTTTTTAGCTGAATACGGTTAACCGTTTTCAAGTTAGTCCACTATAATATACGTTAATTTTGGATATAAAGATAAATCGCGAAAACTCGATCTGATAGGAAAAAACCAGTACAGGGTTGGATTCAGCGTCCCCGATTACCTTAAAAACAACATTCAGTTCTTAATTAACAAAACCCTTGTTCCCTTGTGTAATCTATGAAAAATCATTAGACACGTCAGCATTTGAAAAGCCCAATCCCTACAATTCACCCATTGAATACGCCGATAAAGCAAATAACGTAGCCTTCGTTTTCAACAGTACGTTGAGTTTGAATGATCATATCCGCAAGGCGTTAGGGAAGACATAACATTGCTTTTGTGCAGGCAATTGCTATTGCTATTTGCTTTGGATCGCTCTCGGTGCTTACCGTTCTTACGCATCTTCCGTGTCACCTACTCACTCTCTGGAAAGCACAAGTGCTGTGCATGCACTCTTGCTCTCACTCTATCTGGACTTCGCCTGCACTCTTTTTGGACTATTAAATCAGTGTCTCTGCATTTTTGAGTTCACCGGTTGGTTTACATCACTTCGCTGGATCGTCTGGATCTGGAT